CTCGGAAAGATAGGGACACTCGCCGTTGCCTCTTCGTCATATCAGCCTACGCCCCCACTGACTGCAGCCCAGATGATGTAAAAGATGAGTTTTACAGAAAGCTTTCGGACCTCCTCCAAAAAGTTAAGCGCTCTGATATAGTTATAATGGCTGGTGACTTCAATGCACAAGTAGGTAGACTAAGTGAAAATGAAAGACACCTAGGTGGATGTTACGGTCTCGCGGCTCAAAGAACAGACAATGGCGACCGTCTGTTGCAACTGTGCTCAGATAACCAACTATTTCTAGCAAACACTAATTTTAAACATAAGGAAAAACACCTTTTGACCTGGCGACCCCCAAAGTCGTCTCAACGTTGGACACAACTAGATCATATCGCCATCAGCCACCGATGGAGGGGTTCGATAGAGGACTGTCGCTCGTTCTGGGGCACATGTTTAGATTCATATCATGCCCTAGTGCGAGCACGTATTTGTTTGAGGCTTACTGGACGTAGGAAAGACACCGTAAGGAAGCCTCTTAGGGCTTTACTTGATGATAATCAAGCTAAGAAAATATTTCAGGAGGAACTAGAAAAACAGTTAGGCGATCATGCAAGTGATTCCCATCCGGAGTCAGGTTGGAATGATATAAAGAAGGCTGTGGAAACAGCAGTGATATCTGCTAGTAAGGTAAACCATAAGGCTAGGATGAAGCCGTGGATTTCAGTCTCATCCACGGAACTGATGGATGCTCGAAAACGCATCCCACCTGACACTGAACATGATGAAGAGCGTACTCAACTTAGGCGCAGACTTATAAAAAGCCTACTTAACGACCGTGAACAGTGGTGGGTGGCGAAAGCAAAAGCGATGGAAAAGGCAGCGGCGATAGGCAACACTAGACAACTTTTCCGCCTTATCAAAGAAACCGGTATTAGGAACCCGAATGTAAGTGAGACTATCTCGGAAAAGGATGGTCTTATTATCCATTCTCAATCTAGGAGGCTGGACCGATGGGCAGAACACTTTAGGGATCAGTTCAACTGGCCTTCAGCCACTCTTCGGTTGCCCACGATCTCCAGTCATCCTGAATGGCAAATCGATTTAAGTCCTCCCAGTTTACATGAAGTTGAGAAAGCTATAGGAAATCTAAGGAGAGGTAGAGCGGCAGGTCCCGATAGGCTTACCCCTGAGATGTTTAAGTATGGTGGTCCAATTTTAACGGTTAGACTGACCGAGATCCTAGGTAGAATCTGGGAAATGGACGTAATCCCATCTGACTGGTCTCAGTCGCTAATTGTCCCAATCTACAAGAAAGGACAGAAGTCCTCTTGTGACAATCACAGGGGAATAAGTTTAACTAATATAGTTTCTAAATTGTTAGCCTCGATTATACTTAGACGTCTAACTAGAGCTCGCGAAGAGCAGACTCGAGAAAACCAGTCTGGTTTTCGACCTGGACGTGGTTGTATAGACCACATCTTCACACTACGACAGGTCCTGGAACGCAGACACACATTTAGACGTCCGACAATAGTCGTGTTCCTGGACCTTAAGGCGGCATTCGACTCAGTGGATCGTGAGGTTCTGTGGCAGTGTCTGTCATTGAAAGGTGTACCAAAGAAGTACATTACCCTTATACAAGCACTCTACTCGAACACCACTGGTCGGGTGAGAGCATATGGCGAACTGTCATCTGAATTCTCTACATCAAGTGGTGTCCGTCAGGGCTGTCCACTCTCTCCATTCTTGTTCAACTTTATCGTAGACATCCTCTTAGAGTTAACATTAAGCTCGTCAGATTTTTCAGGGGTTGACCTTCTACCAGGAAAGTCGCTTACTGATCTAGAATATGCCGATGACATAGTTCTATTCGGTGAAGACGCTGACAAAATGCAGAGTCTTCTGACTACCATAAGCAACAATGCAAGCATGTTCGGGATGCGGTTTTCCCCCTCGAAATGCAAAATGTTGCTTCAAGACTGGGTTGCTTCGGCACCTGAACTGGTGATAGGGAGTGAAGTAGTCGAGCGTGTAGATCACTTCACTTATCTGGGGAGTCTCATCAGTGCTGACGGTCTGGTGACTGACGAAATCTCAGCTCGGATACAAAAAGCTCGACTGGCTTTTGCCAACCTGCGTCACTTATGGCGTAGGCGAGATATCCGTTTGCTGACTAAAGGACGAGTGTACTGCGCAGCAGTTCGCTCCGTCTTACTTTATGGCTGTGAAACATGGCCGTTAAGAGTAGAAGATGTTCGTAGGTTACTAGTATTCGATCATAGATGTTTAAGAAGCATTGCTCGTATATCGTGGGACAGCCGAGTAAGCAATGCTGTCGTTAGGAAACGAGTACTAGGTAAGGATGGCAGATCAATCGATGAAGTGGTGAAACTTCATCAGTTGAGGTGGTTGGGACATGTGTTACGTATGCCTAACCACCGACTGCCTCGACGAGCTATGTTTTGTGGTGTAGGAGTAGGTTGGAAGAAAGCTAGGGGCGGCCAGACCAAAACATGGCAGAAATCCATGAAGTCACTGACAAGTGGACTGAGTCATGTTGGTAGATGTAGACTACCTGGTTGGGGTCCGCGAGACGAAAGTCATCAATGGTTAGAGACCTTGAACGACATGGCTCAAAATCGTTTGCAATGGCGCAGGTGCATCCACTCTTTGAGCTCTCTCAAATCGTAATCTTCTGGATTAGCCAGCACCTCTACCTTTGTCTTTCTAACCTTATCTCACTGAATTATATTTTTTGAATAATATCTTAAACCCTAGTCTTCTTTATTATAACATTAATACCTCTACCATCTTTATCACTATGGGATTTGATTTGACATTTGCGTCTCTGTGCTAATAATGTGGTATGGCAACATGAACTTATGTACATACGTACGAAGTTCTACGTTGCAACTGACTGACTGACTGAGGGTATATACGATGCTTTCTTCATGATAGTTTTTCAACTGTCACTGCAATCAATTATTTAGTCTACATAGAGGGATAGATAAGATAGTTTGATCACAGTCGATTAAGCATTGGGTAATGGTTATATCACAGCATAGGAATCTCCAGTAAAACCTATCACGTATCAAAAACAGGATCTTCAGTTCGCGCTATGAAAGATCATATCACTCAATTTGTGAATCCAACTAATCGTCTCAAGCCACTCAACAAAGCACTAATTAACTTTTTCTAGTGACTGCTGATAATCAATACACATGTGAAGTTAGTTTAAACAACAAAGTTAACTTTAAGATTGACGTTAGGACAACTTATTTTCTCCAAAGACCACTACATCACAAACTGATACACATGTTGCTTGAGACTAGGAATTTCATGTGAAAAGAGTCCAAGAATAATGATAAAATCGTTGCTGGTCATCTATCAGGCATTAAGTACATATAGGAATCCTGATACACTCATTTCTTTTTTTCCCAAAGAGTAGAAAGGAAGCAGAGCATTCCAAAAAATGCAGTGTTCCAGTTTAAAACATTGATTATTTAACATCACGACAGATTGTAAGCCTTTCAAAACATCGTGCGAGAGCACACTCAGTATCAAAAGTACTACTAATCCTGCGGAAGTCTGAATTCCATCCCTGTTGTCGTGACCTTCACGCTAAACAATACCCAGACGAACTTTGAGTGACCGAAATGCAACTAGGACGAGAGATTTTCTGCTCTATGCTTGAAGGATGGCCCGATACTGACTTGCTCCATCCGAAAAGGAAGAACAAAGACCGAAATTCCGAGATTGATTACTACATTTCAAAAATTCTTTTTTATACACACAAAACCAGACATTGTCGCACCGATAAGTGGAATCTAACAACTAATCATGAGTGGACCAAAAGTGGTTGTAAGTAGAGGAGATTAAGGAGTAAACTATCAACAAAATAGGAATACTAAATCGTGTGATAATAGTAAGTCGACAGAAGGCTTATCATAAAACAAATATATCAAATAATCCAGTTAACTATTAATAATGCAATTTGAATATATATACATCAATAATCTATACATCCGTTGCCTCAGTTACTACTTATTTCAAACTTCATCCGGATAAAAGAAACTTACTTCAAACAAGACCAGAACAGGGCTTTATAAACAACAATTATACAGTCGAAAAATAAGTGATGCAAACTTTTAAGCAGGCACCAACATTATGGAGTTTCGAACACAAAAACTAAGAGGTTGAAATAGAACCTTGACTGTGTATAGAGAGTAACCTATAATTCTACCGTTAGGTTATTCATCAAATATCCTAAGAAAATTATTTTCGAAAGTCTAATTCTACTGGTCAATAATATTATGGTCGTCCTAACGGTCAATGCCGCATGCTTCAATGTTGTTTCCGATTGGTCGTCCTAACTCAATGTCACAGACTTCGATGTTGTTTCCTATTCGACCTAACTGTATAAATATGCATTATCTGTAACATTTAATGACCGGGATCCTGATTCTTTACGGGACTAGGACCTCGTACTTTCTGGATGTTTGTGGAATATACGTCCTACTTCATATCAAGTCTTCTTTTATTCAATGGGGGTTGGGACAATCGGATTAGAGTAGCCTGTCATGTCGCCGGATCCTCGCTCTCGTTTTCCGACTAAGGTAAACTCGTAATAGTGTGGTGCGAGCTACTTATAAGTAGTATATGACGTGAGTGTCAACGTAATGTCTGGCAGCAGAAGATGGGGGAAGATCAAGAAAGGAAGAGTTAGAACACAATAGAATTTGTATGAAAGGCATGAATAGTGACAATGGGTTGATGTTTTGCAAAAGGAACAGTCCAGTTCGATATGATGAACTGATAGTTTGCAAATGAACGATTTACGATATGGTTTTCCGATTTTACTGAGTAACTCTGTAATTTACGTTAAATACAATCCGGTTGCCCCACCTGTGTTCTCCTTCACTACAATAGTTCAAGCATATCAAATGACGTGTTGACATGCATTCGTCACATCTACCGGTACATTTTTATAGCTTTAAAATTAAAAAAAAAACTCACTGTCTTATCAAAATTATTGTATTTGTATAAAAAATAAGATAAAACTAGATCAATAAGCATATAAAAATTATAAAAAAGGGTAATAAAGAAAAAAAAGTGTATTGAATCATTAATATTTTGGCAAAATGTACATACATAATGAAAAGAAGGATAAGAAAGAGAGATAGAGAGTTTCATCTATTTCGTCAATCATATCTACACCGATGACCACAACCAGTTGGACATTCTGATCTTTTCATAATCCATGCCTAATAATATTGTGGATGAGAATAATAATAGAGAAAAAATAATATTATTAATAATTCGAATGTTTACTATAGAAATGAATATGAATTTGCGTCACAATAAATGTGTATCAAAAAGGATGAATGTATGCTATTGAACTAATGACTTTTTTTCAAGGCTTCTTTTGATTAGAAAACAGTCTTTATCAAGTGACATTGATTATAAAGGTAGCTGATACTATAGACAACTACTGACTGAAGTTGGAAATTCAGAGCTTTGAGTGCTAATTTAACAGTTTAGTGGTAATGTGCTTGATTCAAAGTCTGAAGGTTTTTGGGTTTGACCTCTGGATACACACGGTCGGAAGGTCCTAAACTATAACGAAATAGCTGTCTGGTTTTCACTGGTTATTTATTTAAGGTATTTCTCTCAGTGATGCAAGCAATCCCCGAATAGAAACACCTCCATGAAGCTCACATCCTAGTGATTGAAGAAGTTTACGTAAATCAAGTCAGACTTCAGAATAAGTTGAGTCATACCATGGATAAATGTTACATTTAATATAAACGCAGTGTCTAAATGATTATACCCACTTAAAAACATTGAGGTGACCAAAGGAAAACAGGGCACAAATCCATGAAGTCACTGACAAGTTGACTGAGTGATGTTGGTAGATGTAGGCTAGCTGGTTGGGGTCCGCGAGATGGAAGACACCGATGGTTAGAGACATTAGACGACATGGCTCAAAATCATTTCCAATGATGCAGGTGCATTCATTCTTTGTGTTCTCTCAAATTCTAACCTTCAGAATTCCTCATCACCTGTATCTTTCTCTTTCTAAACTTATCTCACTGAATTATACTTTTTGAATCATATCTTAGAACCCTAATCTTCTCCATTACTGCTAATACTTCTACTATCTCTACCATTATTGGATTTGAACTGACAGTCGCGTCTCTGTGTTAATATGGTATGGCAACCTGAACTGATGTACGTACGTACGACGTTCTACGTTGTTATTGGCTGATTTAAAACACGAATGAAATAGAAAAAAGGTGGAACATAGTAAACGAGTTACAGATAACTATAATATGTGATCCTGTGTTTTTTGCGAATGTCAGTTCAATTTTTAAAATTGATAACGACTCTAATGCTGACTGTTTTACAAACCCATAGGATTGTGTTATCACCTGTGTAGATTAGAAAGAATCATTTAGAAAACCCACTTTCCTTTCAATGAAGTAATCTACGTAAGATAGCTTACACAATGAAACAACTGACTCAGAATTTTCTATATGAAAGTTTAACTATTGAAAAGTATAACCAAGCTCATTTTCCTCATATTCAGTGTTTGACATGATAAACTTGAAGGCTTTAGTAATTCAAACATAAGCCTTAGACCGTGAATTAATCTGTTTATCTTAATATGGCATAGAATAACACTAGCTTCTACAATTATGATGCTCATCTAACGATTTCCATAGATGATTGATTTAAGAGTCAATTTATTTCTGTTACTTACATTTGAAATTGATGGAAAGAAATTAATAGACAAATTTCCACTTTCATTTCACTCTAGATATTAAGAGTTTTATGTAAATAACTAAATATTGTTGCTTGATATTTCCCTAAAACAGTTAGTGGCCAAATCTAACGAAAAAACCTGAGTGAATTAAGTACAGCTTGTCGGTCAGTCAGTCAGCCAGTTACAGCGCAGAACTTCGTAAGTACGTACATCCGTTCCGGTTGCCATACCATATTAGCACAAAGAGATCCGAATGTCCATTAAAATCCCATAGTAGTAGAGGTATTAAAAGTATTAGAAGTAATCGGAGCGATTAGGGTTCGAAGATATGATTCATGAAGTATTATTCAGTGAGATAACTTTAGAAGGATAAAAATAGAGGTGATGAGAAATCCAGAAGATTAGAATGCCATTGCAAACGATTTTGAGCCATGTCATTCAAGGTCTCTAACCATCGGTGACCTTCATCTCACGGACGCCAACCAGGTAGCCTACACCTACCAATATGACTCAGTCCGCTGGTCAGTGACTTCATGGATTTGTGTCATGTTTCGGTTTGACCGCCCCTAGTCTTCTTCCAACCTACTCCTACTCCTACACCACAAAACAGTGTTCGTCGAGGTAGTCGATGGTTGGGTATTTGTAATTTATGTCCCAACCACCTCAACAATGTGTATGATCCAGAAATGAGTTAATATAAGGTGTGAATAAAATGAGACAACTATTGTAAAGTATTTTGAGAAATGAATAAATTATTGGTAGACTGAAAATTAATAATAATCAAAACATTCAATTAGATAATTATTGATGAAAAAAATTACACCACAGAGAAGTATCTCTATCCTACCTGCATATGATCCAAATGACCACCATGACTACAACCTCTACAACAAACAAATAGACCACGTACAACCAGATGACAAAGTGCACAAGTTATAGTCGCTGGATCGAATGATGTTGCATGACGTGAACAAGCCCAACCAGTATGCCCAGTTAATTGTTGAGTTGTTTCACTGGCACATAATGGTTTTGTGCATAAACCACAACGTATTGATAATGTTGTTGAAGCTTGATTTAAAGCTGCTACACCTGGTGCTAATGCTGAAGACATGTTGCCTAAACGTGAAACAAATGGATTGTCGATACTTGTTAAACCACCACTTTTCCAACGAGTTCGTGTATTTGCATCCGATCGAGTATCTCCTGTATTTCCGGAATTTTTCAATTCAGATTCTAAAGGAAAATTAAACAAAAATTATTCACTGATATCAAATACAGTGTTACTAAAGTGTAACTTAAACACTCTGCAGTGGGTTTGGATCTATCCTATCTTCTAGTATAGTATGTATTATGTAATTAATTAGTCGAAACATAACGCTCTAGGCAATTAAACAGTGGAGCGTAGCTTTTAAATGCGTGAAACTTATCTCTATTTCAGTCATGAAACAACAATTATTTCTTACAAGTTACCATCGATAATCATATTAATGATAAAACTTCACGGCCTTAGTATTCTCAATTTATCTTCAGTTTAAAGAATACTATTAACTAGATGTTGCAGAAGCTATGAAAATTCCAGTAATCAGGCAAATGACTTGTGACTTCCCCAAATCATGTCACACCTCAGTTTTGAATTCTCTAGATTTCTTTCAGCCTGTCTCCATGTTATCAGCATTGTATTAGTGGTCATGTGAAGCACATAGTCTAATCAACCACTGTTGGGGACGTTAGATCCTCAAAACTCGCTTGATAAATGACTTACTTCGGTTTTCACGTTTTGCCAGCATGGGCTGATCAGTTGACCTTGAGATTTCAATTCCCACCAGGAAAATCCATGGCTGTGATTGGCTGCTGTGTATTTTAGTATGCTATTTTCTTAACTGACTCAAGGACGTTCCTATCTTGTATAAATAAACGAGAGTTGTATGCTTGATGGTACTGTGATTGCTGGGTGTTTGTAGAATATACTTTCTACGCTAACAAAGCCTTTTTACTGGCTTTGGGGATTCAAGGTAGCCTACCTGGAGGCTGGTAAAAGTCTCGTTCCCGTTTATCGACTAAGGTAAACTCGTAATAGCCTAAGGCATACTTAGTGACGAGCGTAACAACCATCCAAAAT